GACTGCAGTGACTGCAAATTTCCTACATGGAGATCCCCACCTGCATCGCCTGAGAGGTCTTTCACTCCTGAAGGGTTCATGGGATTCATTGGATGAACCCCACTGGATTCTTTGGGATTCAAACCCCGCTGGATTTCCTGATTTGACCTTGGGGTCTATCTATTCAGGTGGGTTGCCGCCTGAAGCATGGCAAGGTTATCAACCCCAACTCCCACAGTTGATTCTTGCGGTAACTATATGATGTTTCACTTCTTGCGGTTTCTCGGGTATGAGTCCAACCAAATGTCTATGAGTCAAAAGCCAGGTAGCCGAATGGTAGCCTAATGGTACCTTATAATAATAGTGGCTGATGGATATGTATTCCCCCAAGATGGTAGTAGTAGGTTGTGACCCATCGAACCAAATGACTTCATCTTGTCACCTTGTCATTGCCAATTCTCCGAGGATTTGACATCTCCAGCCCCCCATCTTCAGGCCCAGGGGCCCAGCACATATCCTACGACCCATAGGCGGCCAATGCCAAGCATCCGTAATCTTTGTACGTGTCCAAATGACAAGCCTCGCTCGGATGTCTTGGATCTCATTGAGCTGGCCCCTGACTCCTTCGGAACTCATATTGCTACGGTTTCTACATGTTTCTACATGATGTCCCAGTGATTTACGTATATATTTGTACATATTCATATACATGTCAATGTATAATTGTAAATATGTATATATATATGCACATAGAGGCATCATCTTACACTTAATGAATCTTAATTATGTATGTGTTTCGGATTCTCCAGCCCATGCCAACTTGATAGGGACATATAGGGACTGTATTTTGGGCGCAGCTTGGGATCTTTGAAGATCCAGGTAGCTTCCTCTAGCGACTCTGTCAATCGAATGGCTTGCTGTCGCAACACCTCACGCACAGGCCGTGGCAACATGGGTTGGTCAAATCGCCACGGTGATTTTGCTGCGTTGTCAATTCTGTGCTGCTTCAAACATGTCATGACATGTTCATTTTTCTGGCTACAGGATCAGACTTTATGTCATCATTGTGGCTCAAACATTTCTATAAGATTTCCCTTTAGCTTTTTGACTTCAAGTCCGAGTTTTCTCCTGACCTCTCCCCATGAGGGGCCCCGAGTTTTCTCCCTGGGGCGCGCCGATTTCTCCAGAACTTTGGGATCTTTCGGCTGCAACTCTTCCTGGGAGTTGCGTCTGTCAAGAGGCTTCCAGGGGTCCTGGGTGATATTCAAAAGATGACAAAAGCAAAAATCCCTAGACTTGGTTTCTCGAAGTGATCTTGTCATTGAAAAAGATGATGAAACTTGGGGGTCAATCAACATCATCTGACCAGGTGCAGCAACACCAGCATTCCTACTCCGACTACTTGAGGTTATCTTATAGTCTTGCAGCTTGTCTTGTCTAGAAACCGTCGGGTTCACGGAGCAGAATATCAAACGAATTCCCTGAATCAGAAACGAACACTGCACAAACCACATATAACCATTGAATTCCAACGCTGAAACGCTATAAAGTATGACGAGGGTATAACGACCATGCTCTGAAAGAACATGACCATATAATTACTTTGGACCTTGCATCTCCAGTCGGCCATCTGGAAGTCAATGCTACCAGACTCAGCGTCATGTAAAATTACCAGGGCAAAAGTTTACGGACGCCCCATACATTTGCAACATTTGGATGGTAAAAAAAACGGGATTCCTATTCACCCACCAGCACACGCGAAATCCCAAGCTCCAAATGTTTGTTGATCTGATAGGTCACCGCCTTACATGCCAGGCATTGAAACTGCGGCGGCATCCTCAGTGGCAGCAAGGAAGGTGCAGGGCTGCAGCTTGCACGACCCATGCTGATGGAAGATTGGACCATGTCCAGGGACAAAATCATCAAAAATAGCATAGTAGAAATAGCAAGATTTGGGGGAAGAATGAAAAACATGTAGAAATTGACATTGCATAGTCCATTTTGCTCCAGTGACCGATGATAAGCATCTGACAAGAAATGGAGTTTGGTACTCCCTGTGATCTGCCAGCCTGAGGGGTTCCTGGTTGCTATGAGTGTGGCGGAGCTTAGGTTCCCTGCAAACAGATCAAATTTTAGCATATTTTAGCTGCCCCCAGAAACATTGAGGTATAGACCGGTATAGAGGTCTCCCATCAATTCTTTCCTTCATTGCAAGAGAAAACGCTTCCAGTGATACTTCCTCTTCACTATCTGTGTTCAATTCGTCAGTGGGCCAATGCTGTTGCTGCTGAGTTGCACTTCTGACATTGCTTCCTGCCAAAATGAGACATGTTTGCAGGCCATATAATCTTGCAATCAAGCACGTCAGGATTGCAATATGTTCACCTGCAGGACAAATGAAGATCACAAAGGAAACGGATCGCATTGGAAAAAATTGTTTTTTTCTCTGATTTTTGGAGTGCTTCCACTTCAGGTCTGGTTTTTGGTCGGTTGGCTTCAATTGGTTTGCTCCCGCCTCTTTTTTCCACAATCGAATCAAATCACTTTCCGTCACTTTCCCAAAATGAGTGTACACCCCCCAATAATCAATTCTCATAGGATTTTCCACTATAAACCATTGAAACCATCCATTTTGAGGTACCACCATTTTAGGAAACCTCCCCATCTTTTTCTGAGATTTCTTCTGCCCAGTCCTCTTCCGTGAGTTCTTTGATTTTGAAATTCATTGGTTTTGCAGGTTCGGGCTCAGCCGCCAACCTTAGGCCCCAAGGATCCCCAAGGCTCCCCGCACGGACAGGAAACGGACCCTGGGATTTCCCATGGTGTAGACACAGCAACTTGTTTCTGCTAAATGATGAGTTACAACATGTTACAGAATTCAATTCCCCTAAGGTTGTTGGATTATATATATATATGTATATAGAAATCACATAGGCTTTAGGTTATATCCCCGTGATATTGAAACATATGGTCTGGGACCGGGCGTGATATCTTGAAAAATGAGTTGCAAATCAAACACCCATGTCACCCCAGTATAGGTCATCTCTCCCTCATCATAGGCAACCTCGGAATGATAAACCTGAGTTTACTAAATACGAAAATTATTAGGATGGTAGCCGCTGGTAGCCCTGTAAAAGTGATATGTCCTTTTTACCTAAATGGCTGCCCCACCCCCATTACACAGCGGAGGTCTATTAAACTCCGGGCTTGACATTGTAATTGGATCAATATATAGCAAGTCTGAAAAAGATCGCACAGTCATTTACCGTCAAACTAATTAATAGTAATCATCAATCATTAATCACCATGTAAATCCACTAAGTAACCATGTATTAATGATAACCATATTATTAACCATTCGTCATCATCAACAACCATTAAATCACCATATAAATCCACTAAGTGGAGCCATGATCTCCCCATCTCCACACCGTGACGCCCCCAGGGTAGCCCAGGGACACCGAGGACAGCGACAGAACGCCCAGCCAAGGCCAAGGCCAACGAGCCCGGCGCTGCGCCATGGCGGGTCGGTCAGGATGCCGTTGATATTGGTTTCAATCTCTCTCCATCGCCATCTCCAAGAGTAAACCAATAGTTTTCAGTATTTAAAATGAAACATTCACACACACATATATAATACGTTGTGTTTGCATCTATCTATCTATCTATCTATCTCTATCTCTATCTCTATCTCTATCTATATCTCTATCTCTATCTCTATCTCTATCTATCTATCTATCTCTATCTCTATCTATATCTATATCTCTATCTCTATCTCTATCTCTATCTCTATCTCTATCTCTATCTATCTATCTATCTATCCATCGCCATCTCGTATACGAGTACAGTATGTATATCTATATATATATAAAATATATATGGGGTCTCATATATATATATATATAATGGTAGAACTTGGGGAAGTTCCAATTTTTGGTGAGAGTTCCGTTCGGTGCTTATGCAAGGTTTCTACTGGGGGGAAACCCACTGTTGCCATCCTACCTTGCACGGCAAGTTGATGGCTCCACCAAACAGTCATATGGGGAGACAAGAACCCCTATTTATAGATGATGTTCCTATTAAGACATCCATTTATTTATAGTGGATATCCCAGCTAGCCATGGTTGATTTTTCCAGAGGGTATCCCGCATCATCTGTCACATCTTTATGACTTGTTGTATAGCGCATATCTTCAGCGTGACACTCATCATGTGGTCAAAGCTTGAGCACAGTCAGCAGAGGGCATGGATGGGACATGATGGAACCCTTCAACATGGGGGTAAAAGGTAGCAGTGCAGGCAACATGTACTGCCCCACAATAAATGTCTGACAAAGGCATAGGGACTGCCACTGCGATCCACAAGGTGTGTAGATTTCGCACCCAGCGCCTTGCCGCCTCGGCCCAAATTTTCCCCAAACGCAGGAGCCTCTAGCGGCACACGGCGCGCGGACCTGCTCTGCCCCATGGCACTTCCAGGCCTAGCTGTCGACATTCCCCAGCAGCTGCCCAGACCTGCCAGCGCCAGGTCCTGCCTGGTCTTGGTGCATCCCCTTTTGAACAGTCACATTCATCACTAATTCATACATATTAGATCATAATATTAGTACATGTAACATGTAAATACTTTTCATAATGCGACACTAATTATATGGCATGAACAAACATTAAATAAATATATATATATATGTGAGTAGCAAACAAAATTATAGGTTAAACTTCATGACATGCACAAATCAGGGTCGTCCCCTATCTCTTGTGAGGATTTCAATATTCCCGGAGGTATCACAAATGGGGTATTGGTATAGGGTCATCCCCTATCGGTTAAGAAGGTTTTGTGCAACCTCCGAAAGGCCAAGGCGAAGCAAAACCAAATTAGTATTACAATCATTTTGTCTGCTACTCATATAATTACACATGGTATTACATGAATTACCGAAAGCACAAGCCTGGAAAACGACTCAATCTGCCAAAAGAATATGTTTGGCTGGGGTCATGTCCCGGGCGAACCCCCTCGCAAAGCCTAAGCTTGCGGCAAAGACAGCAAAGTGGCCAGGCTCACCTCCTGAACAACTGGAAATGATGGAAGCTGCAGCATCCTTCTGCTCAAATACGTCAAATATGTATGTTCCTTATCCTCTGCCAACACGGATCTGAGATGCCTCGAGCACAAAATGTTTCAGCAGGGTATTGCATTTCATTCATGCATCGACTTTTATCTCGAAATGATGGCTAAGAAATTAACTTCGCTGCCAACCAAACCAAGGTATACCCAGTCAATGCATGCTATGGTTTCCAACACGCAACATCTCCCACCTCCTCTTCGGCCAATTCAGCCTTAGGGGGAGCAGCAGCTCGCGGCCTCAGGTGATCAGTGCTGATCCAAGCTCTCAAAATGTCATGACCTTCCCATAGACCTTAGGAATAAAACGCAGAAACACTCCCATCCCAAGAAAATCCTCACCCCAAAAGACACGGAAGAAAAAAGTTGGAACAATACCAAAATCACCCAAAATCCCAAAACTTCCAAGCAACTCCCAGCGCCAAGGCACTGCTCCTCCCAGGACCAGCGTCCCTTCACCGCCTGCGTCACCGGCTCCGTCGGCGCATCCGCCAAAGGGCCCGCCAGGGACGGCGTGCCACGCGCCCGGGCCGTGGGGACGCTGGAGCTACGGTTGAGCGATGGGTGGAGACGCGGTGGGAAGCGGGAGGGATAGCGTAACCTCAGCGGCAGAAGGGGGAAATCTTGGAACTACAGGTCCACATTATGGGATATTCCAAGGATATAAACCAACCATAAATGAGGATTAAGGATAATTATATTGAAGTGATTTTTGCATTGTGGTTGACAACTGCGGCCGCCATCCTTTTTTCAAGCTACCCGCGGGGAAAGAACAACGTTATTGTGGGCGAAATCACACTTTTGTTTGCGCATTTAAAGGTGCTAAACTTAATAATTACTATCGTGGTGGCAGTTCTTCCAGGAATCATTTCATCAGTGATTTCAAGAGGTAACTGCGTTACATGGATTTGTTGCAGCTATTCAATCGTTTACTAATCGCCATAGCAGTCAAACAGTTTGATACTCAGTCCCCGGTCAGTCCCCCCAAAAACTCAACTTGGACTCATCTATCTTCACTGATGTCCACTGAGGGCTTCAATACCACTGTGCACCCCGCAGCTATGGCACCCCCTGATCCGAGGAAGCAAAGGTCATAACCAAACACCCCTGGGCTGCTGCAAAGCAGCTCCGCTTCTTCCAGCGACTTCACTTTTTCCTTCATCTGTGCTCCTTGAGCCCTGGCATCAGCGCCAATCTCGGCAATCTGACCAGTGTGAATGCCACCAAGTCAGGAGCTGAAATGTCCCCAATCACCAAAAAATACTAGACGACGGATGGCCCGAGAGCGTAGCGGAGCAGAGTCTTCTGTTGTTAGTATGGAGACACGCTTTTTACACACAGGCTCTTTTACACACAGACGCTTTTACACACAGAAGCTTTTACACACAGACGCTTTTACACACAGACCCTTTTACACACAGACGCTTTTACACACAGACGCTTTTTACACGCAGGCGCTTTTACACACATACGCTTTTACACACAGACGCTTTTTACACACAGGCTCTTTTACACACAGAGACTTTTACACACAGAGGCTTTTAGCAGAGCTTTTACACACAGACGCTTTTACACACAGACCCTTTTACACACAGACGCTTTTACACACAGACGCTTTTACACACAGACGCTTTTTACACAAACACTTTCACACGCAGACGCTTTTACACACAGACGCTTTTTACACACAGGCTCTTTTACACACAGAGACTTTTACACACAGAGGCTTTTACCCGCAGAGACTTTTACACACAGACGCTTTTACACACAGAGACTTTTACACACACAGACGCTTTTACACACAGAGGCTTTTACACACAGAGGCTTTTACCCGCAGAGACTTTTACACGCAGACGCTTTTACACACAGAGACTTTTACACACACAGACGCTTTTACACACAAACACTTTTACACACAGAAGCTTTTACACACAGACGCTTTTACACACAGACGCTTTCTACACACAGACGCTTTTACACACAGAGGCTTTTACCCGCAGAGACTTTTACACACAGACGCTTTTACACACAGAGACTTTTACACACAGACGCTTTTACACACAGAGACTTTTACACACAGACGCTTTTACACACAGACGCTTTTTACACAAACACTTTCACACGCAGACGCTTTTACACACAGACGCTTTTTACACACAGGCTCTTTTACACACAGAGACTTTTACACACAGAGGCTTTTACCCGCAGAGACTTTTACACACAGACGCTTTTACACACAGAGACTTTTACACACAGACGCTTTTACACACAGAGACTTTTACACACAGACGCTTTTACACACAGACACTTTTACACACAGACGCTTCTACACACAGACGCTTTTACACACAAACGCTTTCTACACACAGGGGCTTTTACACACAGAAGCTTTTACACACAGACGCTTTTACACACAGACGCTTTTACACACAACCCTTTCACACACAGAGGCTTTTACACACAGAAGCTTTTACACACAGAGGCTTTTATACACAGAAGCTTTTACACACAGAGGCTTTTACACACAGAACGTTTTACACACAGACACTTTTACACACAGACGCTTTTACAACAAGAACGCTTTACACACAAACGCTTTCTACACACAGGGGCTTTCACACCAGAAGCTTTTACAACACTGCGGCCTAGATTATCAGAAAACGTTTATGAACCGGCACGGATTAGTGTTTCACGATCGGGACAAGCTGGGAATTTCCGATTAAGAATGGGACGATGGTGTCTTGTTAGTACAGGCCGCATGTACGCTCTCGTCACTCCGTTACCATAAAAAACGCTTTTACACACAGACACTTTTACACACAGACGCTTTTACACACAGACGCTTTTACACACAGAGACGCTTTTACACACAGAGACTTTTACACACAGACGCTTTTACACACAGACGCTTTTACACACAGACGCTTTTACACACAGACGCTTTTTACACACAGGCGCTTTTACACACAGACAAGTCCGGCACAAGTAAAATCGCAATTTTACCCCAGTTTTTGACGATCGACCCTCATTTCGTGCGAAAGGGTTGCTCGGGGGCAAGTAAAGTCGCAATTTTTCCTCAGTTTTTGCCGATCGACCCTCATTTCGTGCGAAAGGGTTGCTCCGGGACAGGTAAAGTCGCAATTTTTCCTCAGTTTTTGCCGATCGACCCTCATTTCGTGCGAAAGGGTTGCTCCAGGACAAGTCAAATCGCAATTTTACCTCAGTTTTTGCCGATCGACCCTCATTTCGTGCGAAAGGGTTGCTCCAGGACAAGTCAAATCGCAATTTTACCTCAGTTTTTGCCGATCGACCCTCATTTCGTGCGAAAGGGTTGCTCCGGTGACAAGTAAAATCGCAATTTTACCTCAGTTTTTGCCGATCGACCCTCATTTCGTGCGAAAGGGTTGCTCCAGGACAAGTCAAATCGCAATTTTACCGCAGTTTTTGCCGATCGACCCTCATTTCGTGCGAAAGGGTTGCTCCAGGACAAGTCAAATCGCAATTTTACCTCAGTTTTTGCCGATCGACCCTCATTTCGTGCGAAAGGGTTGACGTTTCGTGACGCGCCGCCGGCACCACCCTCGGCCTTAAGAGAGAAAGATAAAGCAGGCGAGAGAGAGAAAAAGGGGAGAGAAAGGAGAGAAGATGTGAAGGTGAGAAGATGTGAGAGAAGGTGTGAAGATGAGCAGACGTGAAGATGAGCAGATGTGAGAGAAGATGTGAAGATGAGCAGATGTGAGAGAAGATGTGAGAGAAGATGTGAGAGAATATGTGAGAAGATGTGAAGATGAGCAGATGTGAGAGAAGATGTTAGATGTGAGAGACGGTGTGAAGATGAGCAGATGTGAGAGAAGATGTTAGATGTGAGAGACGGTGTGAAGATGAGCAGATGTGAGAGAAGATGTTAGATGTGAGAGAAGGTGTGAAGATGAGCAGATGTGAGAGAAGATGTGAAGATGAGCAGATGTGAGAGAAGATGTGAGAGAAGATGTGAGAGAAGATGTGAAGATGAGCAGATGTGAGAGAAGATGTTAGAGAAAATGTGAGAGAAGATGTGAGAGAAGATATGAAGAAAGATGAGCAGATGAGAGAAGATGTGAGGGAAGATGTGAGAGAAGATATGAAGATGAGCAGATGTGAAGATGAGCAGATGTGAGAGAAGATGTGAAGATGAGCAGATGTGAAGATGAGCAGATGTGAAGATGAGTAGATGTGAAGATGAGAAGGTGTGAAAATGAGAAGGTGAGATACAGACCCCCACTATTGGAAGAACCCTGCGCTCAGACGCTCTCGGGAATAACCACCATCTCAAGACATGCCCCTGCCCCTACTGCACACCTTGTGGTGAACACTTTGCCCTTGTTGATATGGCACTTCCAGCTCAATTCAGGAAAACACCATCCTTTCCATTCAAATGCACAAGGCAAACACGATTAGTCACCACATCCCATCGTGATCATCTGCAAAACCTCGCAACTTGAATCAGTGCATTCGTGCTATGTTGGGAAAACTCTGCTCTTCCGAAATGCAGAGGAAAAACCATCGGATTTTGGCATCAAAATCCATCAAAACCCATAAAGTATATAGTGTTTCCCATGAATTTTCCATAGGTATTTCCTGTGCGACGTTTGCCATAAAACCCACAAAAACCTCGCAAGGCGAAGCTTCTCTGTGGCCTTCACGGCCTGGAACAATCCGGAAAAGTCACTGATAGGACAATGTAAAATGTGGGATATTTAATTGGATGTTAATAATGGCATAAACCACTTAGATGTGAATCACTCATATTAGATGCAATATTAATGAATCAATTGAATATCATTGGAAAAATTCAGGGAGCAACAGATAAAAGTACATGGAGGAAATTACTTATATTGGGATGTTATAATGGCATCACTAGGATACTAACGGAAACCCACTTAGATGGGCTTGGTTATTCTGTTATAATTAGTACTTACAGTAATGAAAGCCACTATATAATAGTACGTTAATTATTCCACTATCTGGATATTAGATGGTATATTAATGAATTGTCAATGGAATATTCATCATATAACCAATTAACATAATTTAATATACTATAAATTACAAACAAGTAACTAGGTTTTGGTACTAATGAAATGTATAATGATGGACATAATATAGTATATACCATTGTCACCATTAGATCGCTAAGGCAAGAATTATGGATTATGCTCATCCCAACTTGCTTTGCTACACACTCAATAATAACTGGTTGGTGGTTTCAATATCTGACAAATATTAGTCAAATGGGATTCTTCTTCCCAACTGAATGGAAAAATAAAAGTCATGTTTCCAAACCACCAACCAGTTGTGATTTCTTCTGCAACCGGCGTTTTTGATGCACAAAATGTTCCCCGGGATTTCGAAAAAACCACGGCCTCCATGTGACACCGCTCTCTGGCGCGACGCTCCTCGGGACGGTCGGATCTGCGGAACGTCAGCCAGCCTCTGGATCCCCCTGGTAATTTAACATAAGTGTGGAATATAATATATATATATATATATACATATATGTGTGTGTAAAAAATAATAAGAATAAGAATAAAAATAATAATAACAATAATGGTAGTAATAATAATAATAATATATATATTTATATATGTAATATATAATTTCTATATATATATATATATTATCTTAGCAAGTAAATCATAAATAGGCCATATGTATGGCCATGTTCCATAGCTATGTTAAAATACCAGATACCAGTAGTAAACATAATTAAACATGCGGATGGTTGCTTCTGTTTTGTCTAAGGTCTCTTTGGTTGGGTACAGAGTCCTTTGATCCACCGATTCTTCACACCTCATCACAATGTTCAGGGACCGGCTTGGCACATACCATTGCTATCCATTTGCAACCATTTGGAGGTTTCCTGAAATGGTGGTACCCCTAAATCATCCATTATTAAAGGATTTTCCATTATAAACCATCCATTTGGGGGTACCCCCATTTATATTCATTTATGGAAACCCCCATTTATACACCAGTCTTGTATTGGTTCTATGGGGGTTGCCTCTAGAGAAACCCAGTCCAGTCCACCCAATCCTCGGCCAACTCGGCTTCCTGTTGGTCGCAAACCTGGCATCGAAACACAACTGCAGTTGGAACATATTTTTTCTGCGGAACATTTGGAACATGTCTGAAGATGTGCACTTTCTGTTTGAAGGATTTTGAGGGTCATGCTTGATTTTTTTTGCTGGTTCTACCTTGCAACTTTGGTGTTATCTGTCTAGTTACAGTGCTTGATGTGGGTATCCACACGTCCCACTGCGGCCTGTTCCAACTCTGCCACTCGGCGTTTGCACTGGGCCTAACATTGGCAGAGCAGGTCCCTGTTGACGAGATCCTACAGGTTGACTCTTAACATGTTTATACATTTTTGGTAACCCCATCTAAATGATTTCCACTTGGAAGTGATTTTATATGACTGCATTGCCTTTTACAACCCCCTCTATATGATAGCATTTACATCGATGGGTGTGACTTTCTGGTTTTTAACAACCCAAAGAAGCGTAGTTGTATCAGCTTCGTGGCCCCATCAGTTCAGCTGAGCTTGCAGCGAGTTGGCCACCCGAGGTGCCTCCTGAGTTAAACAATGTGAAATGTAAACCATGATAAATATATTGATAAACCTTCCCAAGTCAAATTGGGATCTTCAGTCATGGTAGGAGGGGAACCATGAAACGTATGAAGCCACCATTTCTTCCTGCACGTGGCATCTATCTTTTGGCAGCAGGCTGCAGCTGCATTCTTAGGAAAGGACAAATCCCAAAAAAATAAAAGCATCCAAAAGCCACCAAATAAGCACCAGAATATACCAGAAAACCACATCAAAAATCGAAAGCCAGTAGAAAAGGCGCAAAGAAATAGTAAACCACGTTAAAAAACAACGAACAAACACTAGAAAATTACCATCCTTTCCCATTTGCCAAGGGGTACCTCCATCCACCACGCCTGAGCCCACGAGCTGCTCCAGGCGCCGTCGGGCCTCATGTAGCTCATGGCTTTGCTGGGCCTCGCGTTGACGCGCCTCAGAAAGCGGCGTGGGACCCGTGGGATCTGTGGGACAATGGAGAAGATAGGAGGACCTTGGATTTAAATCATGATCTGGTTGGTAGTTTCAACCCCTCTGAAAAATATTAGTCAGTTGGGATTATTATTCCCAATATGTGGAAAAATATAAAATGTTCCAAACCATCAATCAGTATATTTATGTCATTTATGCCCAAGGGAACTCAAGGACATGCCATGACTTCAGCAGGACCCCCTGACATCTCCCGACCTCTTGCTCACCGGCACGAGCATCTGCCAGCTCATGACCCAAACGTTGCGTCCAGGTGGTCTGACTGAGGCGCTGATTCTCAGCCTGGCAGCATTGGAGGTTCTCAAGCTGCCAATGGACTGATGGATGTTAAGGATCAATGCGCACGTGACCGCCACGGGGCCCACGGGGGTCTGAGGACGGAGGCATATCTCTAAGACATGCAGCATGACACCGGAAAAAAAAAAGTTTTTTGGTTCCTCGATGTGTGATTTGCTGCCAGGCCACGGCCTATGTAACATCATTCTTATCTTGACAGATTGGTAATGCATGATAGTGCCTACACAAAGCTTGCACTTCTGATCAACCCCGCCAAAGGCAGCATTGCACCATTTCCTCTTGAAGGATCAGTTTCATCTGCAAATGGTGCAGGCTGCACTCAAACTGCAAGCAGAACCATATAATAACAATTTCCTCCGTCGGCAAGAAAGGTGCATTGCACTCAATACGCAGGTTGTTTGTATGATCTCATATTTTCTATCGTTTAGAGCTCTACTAAAAGTAGCATGCTGATCATGCTGGATGCACCCAGCCCAGCCAAATTTCGCAGACTCAAAAGGGGCTCTTCAGAATTTCTCTGCGGTGGGGATCATTTCTAGAAAGTGAAGTCAAAATCCATGATACATACGAATCATAGTTTTTCATGGACGGCATGCCTTGCCGCGCTGCATATTGTTGCATTGCTTGGAGACAGTCGGACTTGGAGGCGCTTGCTGTCTGCAAAAGACCTTCTTTTTGGAGTAGCGAGCGAACGTCTTTGTCTTTGGGTCCAAGCTGCCAAGTGCCAGCCGTGCTGTTGGATAAGAACCCTTCTCGCATCTTGGCCGAAACATCTCCCGAGCTATCACCAGCCTCTGGCAGCAGGAACAGTTTGCGCAGCATTCTCTTGTTGAGAGTACTGCTGCAAAACACAAACATCGCCTCATTCGCATCTGTATTCCACCTGTTAATGTAACCCAGCCTGGTAAGAACACGAAAAGTCAAATCGGCACTGTCATGGAGACGAAAAGGGCCGCCACCATTCCAAACATTCCCAGCGTAACCGCTTCCATACTCCTCTATGAAATGATTCGGCCTTGAGGTGCCGTATAGAGGCAAAGCAAAACAGGATTCTTTCCGCTTTGGCCAAAGATCTCTGAGCCCCCGTTGACTAAGATGCCGACAAAAAGCATATATGGCAAAATTCCTGGGATACACGCAAAGAGGACCTAGTGATGACTCGACCCAACACTTTACAATGCAGGTTGGAAGAAAGCTGTTTGTTGTATAATAACCCAGGTCCATCAAGGCGTCACAAGCCCGATCAGCGTCAATCTGGGAAGCCAAAGGTATTTTACCATCACCATTGCAAAGTTGAACTTTGCCCTCGCCCGTAGCAAGTAGCGTAGCACGCACTTTGCAGGGATCCTGTTTGACGGGAAGGAGAAAGACTGTGGCAGCTGCCTGTCGGTAAGCATTGACTGAAGATGGTCTGCCAGTGTCAGGAATGATGACGATAATTTCCCTCCCTATTGCAACAACATCCCCAACAACGTTGGCAAAGTTAGAATCTCCATTCACCAATAACCCAAGACATGTGCTCCCTGGGAGGGCCATGAGCTTACGCAACTCAGAATTGATTGCCTGATCATTGCTGTCCGAGAAACCGCTTTGCCTCCCAACTGGTCTAAACTCGATATTATACTCCTTCATCAGGGCCCTCCATTTCTTGTTCTGTATCCGTCTCGGATTTGCAAAAATTGCTGCTCTCACTTGCCAACCTTCTTGCTGAAGCAAAGCAATTGCATCTTGGATGCACGGAGTAGCTAGTGCATCTGCATCTACCAGCAGCCTGCATTCACCCTTCCGACGCGCGGCAGAGATACATCTCTTGCGATGCCTTATCCAGGAAGCTGCAAAGAAACTGCATAAAGTGTTCTTGCAACATTTTCCAGACTGGTACGCCTTCTGCGCATCAGGCTTTGTTGCAGGCACACTCTGTGCCAGCCATGGCTTGCATGAAGCAGGCACCCATGGGCCCCTAAGCATGGTCGCAAAGGGCGCGAAGCTTGAATGAACGCGCACCGGCCGTTGCTTAGTCTGGCTTTCCCATGAAAGCTGTATTGAAGTTGGTGTGGCGGCCTCAATTGTAGACATGTATAGACTATATAGACATGTACTGTAATATCTATGATATTACATAATGCAGAAGTTTTCCAAATCCCACCAGAATTCAGCAACTTTTATCCTCGTGATTCATCGTCCTACTCAATCCGAGGCAATCTCAACAAATATAGAGAGGAGACAAATCCTAGATCAATTTGGGGGTATGAATATTCACAACTGCCTGCCGTTTTCATATAGAAAGCCATGGTTTTTGGTCAAAGAAAATGCGGGCACCCAGGTTTTGAGCATAAACTTTATTCTATGTTCCTCCACTAAACCTCTAGTTCCACTAGGATGTTTGGTCTAGAAAAATGATCTAAAAATTGATCTCGCCTCAGCCAGGGCCTCCCGCGCGGAGAGCAGTTGCACCTCAGGTGCGGAAATAGGTGGAGGTATAGAGATAGAGCTGATAAGCCTTGGTTAGGAGAATTGGGCCTTTCCATAGAAAGCTCGGAATTTGCAAATAAAATACTATAGAACGAAATTTCCAAAGCTGGGTAATTACACATATATCAAGGCATGGTGTCGCCCACATTGAGCTATGCGGAAACTGGTTGGTGTTTGAACTGCCCCATCTTCAGGCATCCCAGTCCCAGCCAGAGGCCTTCTGGGCAACCGCGCTTCCAACTCTTTGACTCGAGCCGAGTGGCTCTGAGTCATGGCTTCGGCGGCCCGTAGCTCGCCCTTCACCTAGTGGTCCCACTTAGTGTCCATTACATGCTTCATTGGGTGCTTCTTGCCGGGGCCACCATACTGGTTCCACACAATTTTTCAAACATATGTTTGAAATCAATTTGTTTTGTTTGAATACGTTTTTGAAAAGCAAATTGACATATAATGATATATATATATATATATATTATTTTATATATATTATAATATACATAATTATAGATATTAAACCCCCTCAAAAAAAAAACAGTTGCCCTTGATTCCTATCTCTTTATGTTTACACGAAGTGCTGGCGAAATATGTAGAAGTTGCTGGCGAAACCTCTCGCCTCTCCAGCATGCAACGCTGCCCTCTCTTCCGCCTCCTCCAGGCGCCTCAGGCTGTCAGTGAAGTCCCCATGGATATGGCACGTGATGTATAGACTGTATAGAGCATCTTTGGGTTCCTGTCAGATTTAAGTGGAATTCAAAGGAGCAAACAGTTCAATGACAACGGGTCGCCATCCCGCTCCCAGCTGCAGCCCAAGTCACTGGTTGCCGCTTCGGGCTTCTTCTCCCTGAAACAAAGCTTGGAAGATGAACATCCACCGTGTGAAAAATGCCATGGTTGTGCTGAACTTTCCACTTCTGTAGACTACGCAGCCATCAAAAAATGCCCAAGTTTGTACACTCAAGATCTTTCAACAAAGTTAAATAGTGGCATGTATATACTTGGCACTTGGTCCAAATAATAACTATGGCGTCTAGCTGCTTATGGACATCAAAGAGATCGAAATTGGAATAACTGAATTGCTCCTCCCTGCAGGATTCTAGAAAAGTGGAGAGCCAAGAACCAGCAACTAGAATCTAGAAGTCAGAGCGCAGCACTGGCTATGCAGATTCCAATCCAGCAGTTCTGCATCCACATCTCTTCATCTTACATCAAGTCCCCAAATACACCCAAAATGACGGATGAATTATGCTTTTCCTACCCTTTGTTCTATCAAATCAAGTCCATGAAGTCCAACATGTGTATATATATATAAATATTAAATATCAAATGATATACAGTAAAGATTCTACTTTTCTATTTGAACACCACTCTTGGTAATGCCATTAACCTTCATTTGGTGTGCCCCTTCTTTCCAGGCAGTTCCTGTCGATCCCCTCCTGGCTCTGCGCCATCTGAAGGCACCGCTGCAGCTGCATCACTTCGGTCTCCAACTCACCGGCACGTTGCTCCATGGCCTGGTGGCCAGAGATGACGCGTTTTTTTTCGATTTTTTCTGGCTGCATTCATATCTATCCAGATCAATCATCCACACGACTTCCGGAGTTTGAGTTTAAACAAAAACTGATGATGACACTGATGACAATGACGAATGGGAATTGGCTCTTGAGATGCATAGTGCCGAGTTGTCTCTAACTTGTTCTGGCAGGACCTGAACCATTCTCATTCAAATGGAGCCGAAGGGGTCATAAACACCGAACCGGAAGTCTTCTTATTTGTTGGGATTGGGGATAGATGGGTTAATGAAGCTTGCCATGGTTGCATTGCTACACTATGCAGGGGTAAGAGGCCGGATCCTCACATGAACAGGCGCTCAAATGTACATCTGGAATTGAGGCGAGTGGGGAATGCCAGTTTTGCAAGCACCGAAGACACTCAACATCTCTCAGCCAATGTGGGGCGGTGTATAGGACACATATCATGCAGCTCACAATCCTAAGGCTCGAGATACTTGGATCTTCCAGTCAATGTTCATGATGAACCAGTTATGATGCCCATCCAACTAGCACCCCAAAAGAAAACACAATCTCATATCGCAACATGGTCCGTTTAGAGGTATCCCCACAAGACCAGTAGTATACAATTATCTTTGATCATCTGCAGAAACCAGGTAGCACACCCTCTGGTAAACTAACATAGCTATGGAAAATCACCATGTTAAATAGGTTGCTCTCGTCAGATCTAACTCCAAGATCCTCCCATCTTCGGGATGGAAAACAACACCTCTTCGAAATCACCAATCAGTTTGGTAAATTGTTAAATAGGTAAATCAACCATAAATGGCCATTTTCAATAATTAACTATGATATATAGCTCGGACTGATTTGGGTGCTGCGACGCACGGCAATGCAGTGCGGCCGCAACAAGTCCTTGTCTTAGGCCGGGCGAGCCAAGTCACATGCCCTTCGCACAGCTCTAGTAGCTGTAAAAGATTGTACACGTGATTGGACAAGTGACCACAAATCGTCTGGAATATGGATTCTCAGACCGGCAAATTTCTTGTACAAACCCAGGGATACCCGGTTCAGTGGCACTGTCTGCATCACAACATGTGGAAAAAGCTTGTGCAGTTCAGCCAAAGCATACTGAACTGGCCTAAGCATCATTGCAAGTGTTGGTTGTTGAAACAAAGAATCTGGACAACGCATGCACAGCTTCAACGAACCATCAATTGAGAAGGGGAACTTGAATTCCCTATCCAGAAAAAATGCAAAAACTAATTCAACTTCGTTGATTTCTCTGACGGTTCCTTCAAGTCTTTCAGCAGCGCAAACCCACTCCACGACAGAGACCAAAAAGTCTCCTGGCGCCTTCTTGCCACCATGCTGACATTGTACCTTCCAGTTGATGGGTAGTGAGTCTGCCCATGAGAACCAGAGCCCATCATTTTCAGATTCGGAGGAAACAACACTAACATGGTCTGGTAACGCCTCTTCATCTCCTGTGAATTCTGCCACCTGGAAGTAAAACTGCTGCAGTTGTCTGAGCCTCTTGGCCCAACCAGAAAGAATCGCCTGTGCCCGAACAAGACAATGGCGTTGTTCCAGGGGACGAGCAGTATTGGCAAACACTGCAAGCCTGTCTGCTGCATCATTCCACTTGATGACCCATTCCTCAAAAGAGTCCTCGGCAACCTCCGCAGGGAGATGTGAAGGAATCCAGCGAAAACCAGTGAATAGTGTGCCCCTGTCTTGTAAAAGGTCAAGAACTTGAACCCAAAGATCCGCATTCTCTACCCCATCCGGTAGCATGTGATGCCGTTGAATAAACTCAGCCACCGCTATCGTGGATTGAGAGTCTGACCAAAGGCATACCTCCAATTCAGTGCCAGAAGTCCAGTGAAGCGCTGCAATCAGCGCAATCAGCTCGGCTCTGTCTATGGTTTGTGTGACCCCTTTTAGGTGGCTCATGGCAACCACTTGTTCCATTGTGGCACTAACAACACCCCATGCAGCCCTATTCAGCACAGGAAACAAATCTTGAATACAAGAACCATCTAAAAACAAGTGTTGGAAACCAGTTGTGGGGGCAGGAACAAAAAAAGATATGCCATCTTCCTCCGGTGCACTCAAGAGCGCTCGCCACTCAGTCATCACGTCCTGCCGTGGGACCAGTAGATGCTGCAAAGTGCATCTGGGCAGCTCCACATTATCGGGGCACCAGTCCGGAATAGAGCAACGAATGTGATGGAACCGCGGGCAGACAAGCCAGTGCAAACGATCATCTTCCAGTTGACAAAGTGCACACATTGGTGTTTTTTCAGTGTCATACTTGGAGTGTTCATATCTGCTGATAAATGCTCCTGAGTGCAGAGCTGCAAGACGTGCTCTATCCAGAGTAGACAGCTTAGTGCTGCCCAACTTCGTAAGGAAACCATCCATGCCCCGCAAATCAGACATCGTCTTGTGACGAACACCCGCTGCAACGTACTGAAGCCAGGCATCTTCCAAAACAGTGTTCAGGGTTTTATTGTCCAGATACATCAAGTTCCATGACAAACCTTCATGATCAGCTACCATCGGTGGGTCAATGACTGACCAACCAATCATCTGAAAGCACTGCATAAGTTTGGAAAAGGGCCCAGGAATAAGATGCCCATCATAATTGCTCATCCATATTCGCCACATAGTAAGCAAATCAGGGCTTTTCTGCAGCATACGTCTGAAAGTCGAAAGGCAGAGATGGAGTTGGTAATAACTTGGGTCACTACGCATGTCATCCGCAAGTGATAAGCGTAAAACTGGATTGACTCCTGCTCCATTGATACCAAGTGCTTTGGTGGCTTCACGTCTCAGTTCCATGGGGTAAGTCTCAGCAATGAGACAGTTGGCTGAGCCGTGCAGGGCTTGAGGCCAAAACACCTTAGATAGCACTGACATTTTCTGTGGTCCAGGTGCTTGGGAGCGTCTCAACTTCGTCCACCTGGCATGCAAATTGGAACCTCGTTGGCGTAACAATCGAGTTCGCCGACTGCGGCCAAATGTCATTGCACCACCAAGTTCACTTGCATCAGTGACACATTCAAATCCCAGCTGTCCAATCAATGCCCTGGATGACTTAGACAATGCCCATACGTACGTCTTAGATGCATCCGTCATCAGGCCAAATAGCAGGCAAACAGACTGTAGAGCAAAAAAAGCATGGATCACTGCAAGTGCATCTCGTGCTGCTAAAGTAAGGTTGTCTACAAAACTGTATGCAACCACTGTTGGACAAAACGCTCGCATGTAAATGTGGTAACACCAGTTAACAATGAGCATAGCCAGAATTGACAGAGGGCATCCCTCTGGAAAACCTGATGACGACGTAAGTGCCGTGCCCAAACATCCATGCACATCAAATCTACGCACAAAGTTGTTGAGAAATTTCTGCCAAGGCCTCAACAGTTGGTGTGGCAATCCAACATGCCTCGCAATCAGGAAAACTTGGTTCCTGCCTATGTGGTTGAAAGCACGTTTCAAATCTGTAGAAAGTCCAGCATAGTCCATGTGCATCTGAACCATCAACTCGATTTGTGCCTGCAACATCATCCATACTTCGGTGGTTTCTCTTTGTGGTAGAAATCCCAGTGCTTCAGGTGGAATATACTTGGACATCTGCAAAATCATCTGCTTTGTGCGCAGTCTTGCCCAGGCTCTGTAAATTGTTGGAAACAAGGTGATCGATCTGAAGTGACCTTCTTCATGCGCTCCATCTTGTTTGCTCAGCCCGATCACCGTGCCGAAGGCCAGCTGTTGAGGCCAAGCTGTATCCTCTTGCTCAATGGATTGAAGCAAGTCCAGCAAAGGTTGAGCATATCCATCCGGCATATGCTTGAGGTCTTCACCAGAAAATCCATCAGGGCCTCGAGCTGCCTTACGCTTGAATTTTCTGATCATGGCTCTCCAACTAGGCAGACTGAGTTCCTCCCACTGAAAGTTGAAGGATGGCATATAGTGACCTGCAAAGTCCACAATGCGCTGCCAGTCAGCTGGAGGAATTTGCGCCAGAATGCTCCACCTTGGTGTCCAGTGCGCTTCAAAAGCTTGGAGTATGTCTGAAACGCCCGTCAGAAAAATCCTCTGGGTAACTTCATCCCCAACCATCAAATGTTCTGAAGACGAAACTGTGCAAATGTCTCCAGAATGAGTGATGACATTGAGCATGTGCTGATCATGAAGCCAAACAGAATCACCATGTTGCTGTACATCCTTGTCAAGATGAACTTGTTGGCTTTCCGCATCTACAGCCAAAATGGTGTAGTGCTCCTCTTTCCAGAGAGTTTGGACTCCCGGTCGTGGATCAGGGCGCAGGTCCATGTAGATAGCCCCAAGAGATCCCTCATACTTTGATTTCAGGCTTCTGGAACGTTCATTGAGGTGCCATGCCTCAAAAGCCCGAAAGTGCAGCAAGAAGCTATCATAGATGGCCTGCACCACTGTCGATTCGAGTGGAACTGCCTGGGGCAATGTCTGAGGAACCCCGGCAATCTGGTGAGTCCTTGAGCTCCACCAAGTATCAAAATTTGGCACAAAGCCCTGGGACCGCTTGGTGGCATTCCAGAGCTCGATCCTGTATGTGATCGCGGCAGGTGTGTCTTTTGCCGCCTGCACTGCATGTTTCAAGCTTTGAAGCCTTCTCAACTGCTTGAACCAAAACCCTAGTTGCAGTACCAGCCATAGAGTTGGTGATGCGAACTTCACCGTCACGGCTGGCTTTGCATGTTGGTGTAGAAAGAGTCTGCTTCACAGGGGTGAGGCGTTGAGCACGTCCTTGACACCGATTTGGTAAAGTGAATCCACCAGTGGCAGTGGCATGTTGTACTAACGCATGTTCAAAATCATGGGCCCAGTTTCGCAAAAACACTGTAGGATCTTGCTGAGATGTGAAGCTGGTAGAACAGGTTGGGTTCCAATTGCTGGTATCAATATGCTCCCATGGAATTTTGGCAGGTCTTGGCCATCTATGGACATAAACC